TATATATATATATATACACACACACATATATATATACATATATATAAAATGAAGTAATTAGAAACTGGAAATCTAACCAAGTATTTTTTCTCACATCCAGACAAAAAGTATTTCTTAAATCTTGTTTTAAGTATAAAAGAGTAGATTAGTTAGCCTTGTTAACCTGAAAATTTCCTTTTTTATTTCAAGAATCTTACCAAGTGTAATTGTTCTTACTCCATTGGCAGATTATTTCACTTATTTTGAGTCTGAATTGTCTCATATTTCTGAAATTACAGTAAGTGAAAAGTAATCCATCAATTCAATTAGAACAATTACACTTGGTAAGATTCTGGAAATAAAGAAAATTTCCAGGGCATCAAGGCTAAATAACCTTACATTCTGCTCTATTATACTTAAAACAAGATTTAAAAAAAAAAACTTTTTGTCTGGATATGAGAAAAAATACTTGGTTAGATTTCTGATCCCTGATTACTTACAGTATACTGTATGTGACATGTTTGCTAAATGTAAATAATTTTAAATCTATTTTTTAAAGTTCACATTCTTTGCTATGGTTGTGCTTGTATTTAAAAAGTTGAAAACCCCATTTTTTCCCCAAGAGATTAACATCACATCCATCTATAAAATATTTTTAAATGTTAAGTATTATTAAGTTTGAAGTWAAAAAAATAGATTTTTATTCCAAAGCTTTACACACAAGCGTAAAAGCTTAAATTTAATTGAATACAACTTTAACTGCAAAACAAGAACATGAGCATTACAGAACTACAMACTTATAGGTTAAGCACTGCACCTCTAAAAATCTACTAAATAACCAATACTCCTCAAGGACACAGTGTATTTAAGGCACACAAAGGACATTTACAGGGCAAGTTAAGAACACAGGTAGATGATACAGTGTGTGCCATGTTGGTCTAAAAAATACAACCCGTTTGGGAGTCATCAGATGACTTTTTGTCCTTTACTAGAAAGAACTTCAGAACATGTTACAGTGCAAAGCTTAAAGGCACATCTCTGAACAGATAAACATCAATGTTTTACAGCATGCCACAAATAACATTCAAAAGGACATTTCAAGGTCATTGGTTAACAATTGAGATAATGGTGATTTATATCTCTGCAATTCTGGAATTTATAGATTAGCAGTTCACAGGAGAAACATCTTTTGTAATGCTTTTGAAACCAAACCTTTCTTTTCTGAGACCCTGCTACTAGGTTAAAGTTCAAACATTCCTGATTGATATAAAATGTGTCTTTTTTTTTACATGGTATAGAAGTAAATGGTCAGTTTTAATGCATTTAAAGTGTATATATGAAAAACTCAAAGTAATGATCAGTTTGCTGTTGTATGCACATTGGCCATTTCTGTTTGGCGAGTTAATATTGCATGGTATGGGGCCAAAATTAAGACCATTGCGTAAGCAGCGGTTGCTACATCCTTGTAGCAGGAGGCTATATCTATTCCTTAGCCAGTTATGGATCTAATTAATGATAAGCTGGCATCGGTATCTGAGCAGCTGGCACCAGTAACTGAGAGGTTGGCACTGGCAAATGAGAAGGAGACTATTCATTTGCGTTAGCATTGGGACTAGCTAGGCTGCTCACSTTTTTTATTACATGAACTTTTTTGAACAAAGAAAACTTTATTCAAAAAAGGTTGACACAAAACTTATAAGCAACATGCACTGACAGGTGTTCCTTAGACAGAATTTACTGTTTAACATGATTCAAGCATAAATATGAAACATAAAACATATACTGTGAAGCAGGCAGCTTAGAATTAGCAGCTGTGTTTGCCTATTGGTTGATGGCGGTGTATCTAATGTCTGTATATGAAATTAGAAATAATAATTCAATATAGAGAGGCCTAAATTAACTCTCATAAATTGTAAAAAGCTYAGACTTGATAGTTCTGGCTTTTCTCTTCGCCTCTCTTATCCAGGTTAGTAGCGATAGCCTCTCCAATGCTAACTCAAATGAACAGTCTYCTTYTCATTTACTAGCGCAGGCCTCTTAGTTACCGGGGCAGGCCTATCATTAATCAAATCTGGCTGAGAAATAGATATAGCCTCCTGCTACAAGAATGTATCAACTGCTGGTTGCACAGTAGTCTTAATTTTGGCCCTCATAATGTGCCAAAATTAAATACAAATTCCTTCTCGTCTGAGTCAAGAATGATGTTTGCTGCTCATATTGTGAAATTCTGAGAGGTAGCAAATTTGTGAAGAATTCATAATGAATACAGTATATGAGCAAGGTTAATTTCAGCCGACAATGTTAATCTATTGTATGTCAACCTGCTTAAAGTGTACTCTGTGTCTTACCTAATGATTGCTGGAGCGATGCCTCTGGCCAGGAACAAGCAGGTAATGCATGGATGGATGGATGAATGCATGGTTGGATGGATGCATGCACGGATGAATCACTGTATATGCAGCTGAGCACCTTACTTTCAATTTTATAAATTTAATTACAAATTAAAATGAAGAAATTCCTTTAATATACGTACATGTAATGTAAACAAAGAAATCTTCTCACTGGTTTTCTGGGCTGATTTTTGTAAGGTTGCGTTAGTGTCTGTGTGTGCAGATGTGATCAGTAATCACATAAAACAATCACAGTTTCTGTTTGTTACAGACACATACCTCACTGGGTGTCTCAGTGGTTCCTGGAAGACGCAGTGTTTATCATGTTTCATCTAGTTTCAGTGTTGTATCATGTTCAAAATCAGTCTTTTGAGGTTTAAGCATCAAATAGAGGATATACTGGATCAATGCTACTTTTGGTGAGCTGGAGAAAAACAGGTCTTTTGAAAATTAAATTCTAGGCAGATGATTAGTGCTTCCCTCAGTCACTG